TTAACTGAGATTTTTGCATTATATTCCAACTGTTTTAGAAAAAAATTTAAAATAAGGTGTATCTGACACTAGTTAGTTCAATATATTTCAGTGAGTTTCATAAGGTTGTATTTACTGATCTCAGGCCTGTAAAGCTATTGACTACTCTCCCTTTATTAAAAGGGATTTTTCCATGTCTTCTTTGACATGGAAATGTGTGGCAAAGTAAGTACTACAATATTGCAGCAATATCGGATGATTTATGAAACACATTCTGCACTCATTGTGGCTGCTCATGTTCTAACAAACTGACTCAAGTACCAGCAATTTTTAGTCACCTCTGAACTCTATGTTTTGAATTTTAACTTCTGTGGCATGTATTTAATTTTCAGTTAAATAATTTAATTATATGGTCCCTTTAATGGCAAAAAAGCAAGAAAATGAGCAGGTATGATGTTTTTAACTCAATATACAATTTATGCAGCATTTTTGCTACACAACTCAGTTGTTCTCTCCCATTTCTTTTCTCTTAGTTGACCAAAGTATGGCCTGTTTAATGTATATGCTGTATATGCTTTCAGAGTTGATGCAGAACTGGGCTTCCAGTGATCAATTTCAATGTATCTGTTAGATTTCTGGTCAGTTGTGACACTAAGAACATATGGAAAGAGGAGTGTTTGGGAAATTTGGAAAATTATCAGGAAAGTCATACCAAGGAATATGACAAGACAGATGCCTGTATCTTTGCCTGCTGAGAACTTTATCCTCCACTCTGCACTGCCTTTCTCTTGGTCTCTTTTCCTCCTCCCATTCAGAGACTGCTGCTTTAGCTTCCTGGGCATTGAGAAACCTTTCACCTAGGTGATTTCTCTCTCCCATTTGTAAATGATCCCCAAGGTACCTTCAAAAGAAAATCCTGACAATGTCACAGGACCATACAGCACTCAGGTCATCAGAGGTGGTGATTTTAAGACAGTTTTTAGAAAAGGGTTTTTAGAGGAATTACACAGATAAAATGGGCTATTGTGGTCATCCTTGCTGACTTGTGCTCCAGAATTTAATTTCCAAATATCTATGCGTCAAGGTTTAGACGTGCAACCAGGTGAATCTTTCAGAATCTTTAATCCTGAATTTTTGTCCTAAATCATAGAAAGCTTATGACATCTTTAGATAGAATTTCTTGCATCTCAGCCATATACACACATTTATTATGAGAATTATTTTTAACTGTAAGAAAGGGATATTCTCTAGATTACAAGATATAGAAGCATTTTGTTGTGGTATTAATATTGTTCAGCTTTCCTACATGCACATATGATTTCCCAATATGCTTTATCTTTCTTCCTCTCCTTTCCTATGTCTGTCTTCAAATCTTTGCTTATTCTTGTACCCATTCATCCTCCTATTTGTTTGGAAGTAGACTCAAAAGTATTATCAGAACATGTGCACACAGGAGGTTGAAAGTGTGGGGACCTAAGATTAATTGTGTGGAGGACTAACGAGAATGAAGCATCTGACTAGGAAAGTGTTGTGTATTTCTTCTGCAAAGGTAAGCAACGCTGTTATTGAAATAACCTTATGTAAAAATGTGTGTCTGTTGGAGCTCCAAAGTTACTGTGTCATATTTGAAAGCCAAATTCTAATGTTAAAGGGTAGAAGAAGTGTGAATCTCAGTTTGTTCATAATTGTGATGTTGCTCCTGAAACTTCCACAGCATTCAGATAATGGACATTTCAGATGCATACTTGGCTCTGGGTGTCCATCCCTTTTGCTCAAGTAAGATTTGATCTAACCCTCAGTTTTTTGTTTTTCTTAACTCTTGTACTGGATGTTAAATATTGCTTGTCTACTATCAATCCTCAATACAAAAAGCTACACATAAAGTATCTATGAATACTCTAATGCTGTTAGATTATCCTTTGGTACAAACTGACCATCTTCAGCTTCAAAATCTTACCACTGCTTTTCTAGTCCTTCCTACTGGTACCTGTGCAAATGTTCACACAAGATTTACTTCTGAGATCTGGAAAAGCCTCAGCTTAACTCCATGTGCAGAATTGCTCCTAAACTTAGTAGGAATCTTGTAACTTCATGAGAACATGAACCATGAGAAGCTTCTAGTCAAGATGTAACTGTTGCTTAGGAGAATGTTTTTCAACTTCTCTAAAAACTGGCAGGATTTGAAGTACAAGGGACATTTTAACAAAATGTGTTTTCTCATTTCAAGGTGGTTTTTATATTGAGTTGACATAAATTGGATTTGAATTGCAGCTCCTTATTAAGTAACAAAATCTTTCTCAAGGTAAGGTAAAAAATTGTAAGATAATCAAGTGGATGCAGGAATCGCCTCATCAGCTCACCATTGGTTCCAACCCAGTGCATTTTTAGGATATATTTTAAGGATATATTTTTAAGGCTTTTTTTGTCCTTTTTTTTTTTTTTTTTCCGGAGAAGAAAGAATTGGATGAGCCAATGAAAGCAGTCATGCCCAGGGGCATTACAATTTTGCTAACTGGATCAAAACTAGGAGGTAATTCTGTGCTGTTACTCACACAGTAGATGGCTAGAGCTCACCATAGTTAACTGTATCAGCATGCTGATGAATTGCTCTCATTTAAGTAGCACTCATCACAGCAGTTAATAGTCCACCAGAAAAGCATAATAGTAGTACAGGAATACAATAAATAACGAGTGCATTTGATTGGCCAGGAATGAATATCTGCTATTCAGAGAATAGGAATTTGCTTGTAGTGCAATTATTATTGAGAAATAGCCCAGCATTAATTAAACAAATCAAGTTTTCCCAGTGTACAAAGAAATTGATGTAAGTAAAAAATAAAGGTCAGTTTGATGAGTGTTTCAGCAATCAAGTTAAAACAATTATTTCAGTATAATTATACATGTGTTTTGGCTAGAACAATTTAATTAAGTGACTCTAGACTGAAAGATAAAAATAAGTGCACTGTTCATCTGGAACACTTATTGAAAGTGATAGCATGATACCATTAGGAAACTCAACAAGACAATCTACATTCATGCATTAAGAGAAGAAGTCTGAACATCTGTTTCTCACTATAGAATTCACAAAAGAGGCTTCACTGGGCAGGGAATAAATGAACAAACAATAGTTGGAGAAGGTTATCTCTGACATTTAACAAAATGTTGTATCACAAAAATGACGTAACGTGAGAATGAAATGTCTGAAATAATGGTGTGCTAAAAGTTAGCTTGGCAAATGAAGTACAGATAACAAGAACAAGCTAAACCTCTACCCATCACTCTTTAAAATGTGTACAATGAATGATCAGTTTATGAACAGCGTACTTTTTTATTCAAGATGTACAAGGTGGCATGAAATGGTTTTGGAGAAATATGCAATAAAGGAGGTTCCACCAAATATTTCTCTAGCCATTAAAAAAAAAAGTGACAATTAAAAGATGTTTCTATAAATGTTAAAAAATTCCAGACAGAATAGTCAAACTGAAGAAAAAACAGAGTTTTATCTTGGATGTGACATTTTCTTTCTTCTTTTCTTTCCATTTCCACAACCACGAGTCTTGGAAAGGGAGCAATAATAAAAGATAAATGGAACCAAGAATCAAGTCGCTGCCAAGGGCTGTAATACAATATCTCAGCATTTCAAGGGTAAATCAGTGTGAACCGCCTTTGCCGTCCCTCTGAAAAAACTATTAAACTTCCGTTCAGTCAATGCGGACTGCTCAAGGGTAAGAAATCGGTGTCAGAGAGGGGAAAGGAAAAAAAAAAAGGGGGGGAGGAAATGATGGGGGAGGGGGAACTGCAAAGAAACCCACTAAACAACAAACAAAAAACACCAACCACAAACGATAAACAAACAAAACCACCAAAACAACAACAACAAAACAAACATTAAAAAAAAATTAAACCAACCAAGCAAAAACAAAACCGAGTTTCCCAAAGACAGCATCAAGCTGGGCGGACAGGAGGAGGAGGAGGAGGAGGAGGAGGAGGAGGAGGAGAGGCAGCGCGGCTGCTGCCAGCCCGCTCCGCCGCGCCCGAGGTGAGCCGCGGCCCGAGAGCGGCGCCGCGGCCCCGGGGACACCGGGCCGAGGTGGGAGCCCTGCCCGATCCCCCGGCCGAGGTGGGAGCCCTGCCTGCCTGCTCCCCCCCCCTGGCCAAGGTGGGCGTCCTGCCTCTTCCCCAGGCGAGGTGGGAGCCCTGCCTGTCCCCCCGGCCGAGGTGGGAGCCCTGCCTTTCTGCCCGCCCCAGCCAGAGCGGGGGCCCTGCCTGCCT